CCAGAGCAGGGGTCTCAGAATGCAGCACAAGGTTTGCTACGTGTGCAGTACAATGGACCAAAGTCTAGATCTTCCCCAAATTTATAGCTTGAAGCCTTAACTTTCAGTGAAATAGCATCTATAAATGGAGTCCTTGGAGAGTAATAGGTTTATCTGAGGTCAGGGGGTGCGACCTCTGTGATGGACTTAGTGCCCTTAAAAAGCAAGGGGACTCTAGCTCTCTTTCTCTGCCCTGTGAAGATTCAGCTAGAAAGTGGACATCTGCAAGCCAGAAAGAGGGCCCTCATCAGATGCCAAACTTGCCCAGACTTTGATCTCAGATTTCCTAGCTCCAAAATTGTGAGAAATAATCGTCACCATTCAGGCCATCCCATCAGAGGTCTTTTTTTGTCATAGTATTCTGAACTGACTAAGACACATGGGTAATGCCCAGCAAATGTATGCAAATGAAGGAATGAGCAAATAAGAATCCTTTCCCAGATAATTGTCCTCTTAAGTTTTTCCAGTCTTTAACCTGCCACCCCACATTTCCAGCACAGTGGACTCATATTCCTGATGGTGGCATTAAGGTTCAAAGAGATACAGTATGAACATTTGAAAAGGAAAGGCCACTGCACCAGGAAATGTAATGTTATTACCTATCGAAGACAGCAGACAGGTAACTGGGACCACGTACTCCTCCTCCACCACCTGCTCTACTTTGTTTTTATTTTATTTTCTTTTTTTATTTTTCAACAAATAATACACTGCATATATTCTTCTTAGTGGTTAATTGCTGTACAAGATGCGGACTTGTGATCCTATTTACAAACACCATTAGAACAAATCATTCTATTCATTAACAGAATGTAACTATATATCTATCCCAACCACTTTGAATACACAGATACAAAATGGACATTCATCTGTATACCCTTTTTTTCTAAGTTCCGTTATTGAATATTATAGGTGTGTAAACTCAGCAAAATATTCTAAAAGAGTCCAGTAGCCCATATTAGCATTGGGTCTTCTGTTTAACTGGCAATGTCAGAAATTATTGACCTGAGTCCCCCACAGCTCAACTTAACAGCATGGCTTTATTTATTATAATTTCGTCTTCATACTTTTCTGCTGGATGGTTAAGACCAAGGTAAAGCAGGACCTATGCAACAAGAGTTGTAGCTTTTTGGTCTGAGAAGGTCAGTGAAATGCCCTCAGGATTTGTCCTGAGATCCTGTACCTCAGACTGTAGAACCTTTATCAGTGCAGCCATGTGGATGAGTCACGGCCAATGCTTGGCCAATGTGCTCTCTGTGAAGGCCTGAGAGAGTGTCTTCTCCCCATGTGACTCTCCTTAGGCCCACTCTATGTCATCGATCACTTTCCTCTTTGGCCCCATAATCTTCTTGATCAGAAAATTTGGGACACTACCTCACCTGCTCTACTTTGGTCTAAACTATGTCAATATGTATGCCAACATCTACCTCACTCCAAATTTTGAGGAGCCACTCTCATGGTGTCTATGCATAGGCTTGCTTTTGAGAAAGCACGAAAACATTACCTGAGTACCTACTGTGTGCTAGTCACTTTTACAGGACCTATGCAATCCTTGTAACCGCACTTCCAGGCTGGTACCATGGCCCCCCTGTCCCCGTGTCACCGACGCAGAATGAAGGCTCAGAGGACACTGTCCTACAGAAGGTCACACATTCCTAAACAATGGTGCTGGGTCCTAGCCCAGGTTGCTCTGGTTCCAAAGCCACACTTCTTTTCTTGAGCTCTGTCAACCTAATTCCAGTACTCAGCTCAGTCAAGCTCCCGCAGAGCAGCCTAGCCACAGGTTCTCTAATGTTTCACAGTTCAGCTCCCTGGTGGAAACCACGAATGGGTAAAAAGGGGACAGCTGGGTCCTGCACTGTAAGATCCCTTCCTGGAGCAATCTTCTATGCACTTTTCACTGTTTTTATTGCATGAATTAAGAGTCATCAAAACATTTCTCCTGAGAAATAGGATACAAGTGTAGCAAGTTGAATGAAGGAGGGCAGAGAGGATGACAGGGCCACTTCTAAAAAGAGATCTCAATTCCGCAAGCTTTGGCATTGCACACACCTGGCCCTTCCCTGCGTGAGAATTTGCCTCTCCTTTGCCCTGAGCCACCAAGGAGAGCTCTGAGCGCCCCTAGTGGTGGTCTGCACCATGGGCGTGCAGCAGAAATGCAACCAACTTGGAGAACCGATACCTTGAGCCTATTTGAACAGCCTGAATGAAAGGATGTGCCTGCAAGATCCTCAAACAAGCCCCTCTGACCGGGAAACATCCTTTTGCCTTGGACACAGAAGGAAATGAATGTTACATGATTTTTCTAATGCTCAAGTGCACCGTGTGAGCACAAGAAGAATCCCTCAAGCTTGGATATGGTAGTCCCTGGCAGAGGCTACCAAAACTCCATGAAAAAAGAACACTGTCAGGGAAAGAATCCTTAACAATGACTCTAACAACAATGCACATTAGAGACTAGGGGGGAGCAGGTAAGTTGGAGCCTTATGGAGCAATATTGAATTTGCTTTATTAACTTAAGAGAAAAAGAAAAGAAATTACACCCAGTCTCTGTAATCTTAGCACGTAGTTACAATTATTCCCCATGTGCATATCTTAGACAATAAGAAGTCTCTTCAAAAACAAGTTATGCTTTATACTTATTCATGCCTTACAGCAAAATGGCCCAGAGAATCACGTGCTCTGCATTAGAAGATAGCAACAAGTCCCTTTCAAGTGGTTAGAAATCCGCTCACTCCACTAGGAACGGAAGGGCTAGTTTGTAACACTGAATTAGGTGGCCATCTCTCCACCTGACATTAGTGCATATTGAGCTCCACTTTAAAAATAGAATTTATTGTGGAAGGTCAATTGTTTCCAAATGCACCACCAGAATTGGGGATGTTCATTGGCCCCTCTTGCTTCCTCCTTATGACTCAGAGTCAGGGAGGCAGAGCCACATAGTTTTTAATGAACCTTCTGAAGCAAGACATCAGTTGACTTTAATTTGGTGGCAACCTGAAGTTAATATATATATATATATATATATATATATATATATATATATATGCCATAGTGCCAAACAGTTGGTAAAAATAATGTGAAACATCTTAAAATTCAAAATACACACACAACACCCTCCTACTCATGCGTGCGCACACACACACACACACACACACACATGGGTGGGGAGAGAGAGAGGTCACAGTGAGCGAGAAGAGAATCCTTGTCTTGGGTAACGATTCAATATGTGCCATTAAGACATTTTTCCTGGAGGGTTGTGTATTGGAGAGTATAGATTGCAGAGGTAGAATCGTTTTAGAAAAGCCAGCAAGCCTCTGGGTAGCTTTGAATTGCGTGTGTGTGTGTGTGTGTGTGTGTGTGTGTGTGTATGTGGTAGTCATAACACAGATTCAAAAGGAGGGTAGGGAAGGGAGATCTGGACTCAGTTCAAGGCCACCAAGCACTGGGAGACAGCTAATTAAGAAAGGGCATGCTGTGGTGGAAACGATTTATTTAAATCAAATCTGTTCTCCCATCTTTCCTAGGAAATTGTCCAGACCTGGTGTAAATCGTGAGTATCAGTGCCTCATAAAGGTAGCTTCTCAATGATATGCTTTGTTAAACAAAAGGTGATGAATTGCTTCCTTTTCTCTGCACCCTGGGCTCCACGTTTAAAGAGAAGGGGCTGGGGGATAAATGCCTGATTTATGCGGAGGAGGGCACTCCATGCCTTGGGGAAGCAGAGTTGGAAGAAAAAGGACCTGAGCTAGGGCCCAGGGCACCAAGAGCTGTCCGGGGCCTTTGGTGCTGAACGCAGGAGCGCGAGCCAGGGGCCCGGACACCCCGCTGAGAAATGACACTGCCACCCTTCCCCCAGCTCCAAGTCTAGATGGGCTAAATGAGACGGGCCTCGCAAGGGCAGGGCGTGCGCCCTCCGGCTGCCTTCAGCCTGGGTAAGCACTGCAGTCGCCTGTATTTTGTTTTTCCAAGTGAGGAGTGAGTTTCTGGGCCTCCTAAGAAAGCGAGGCTGAGTGGTCAACAATGCCACCCCGACACACGCACACACACACACACACACACACACACACACACACACACACTCCTAGTCTCCTCGGTGCTTGCCCAAAGTCCCGCAGCTCTTGCGGTTACTCTTCGGTGACTTAGGTGTCCCACTTCTTGCTCCATCCCAACCCCCTTGTAACTTTTCCTGGGGGACTTGGCGGCCTGAAGAGAAGGTGCGGCTCCAGGTCCGCAAAGGAAGAACTGCCGGCCTCAGTCGAAGTTGAACCCTTCTTCCCACCCAGCAAGCACGTGGTGGGGGAAATCAGCGCCCCCTCCCCCCTCCCGACAGCCATCAGAGAGGCTAGGCTGTGGGGGGCGGAGTACGGAGAGTCTGCTCAGGGTCCCACCACCACCTAACATCTCCTCTCTACCTTGCCAAGTTATGGCCCCCTGAGCCCCTCTCCACAGCCTCATTCGAAAGCCACACCCAAGTCCTGAGGCTTGGTGGGGATCCACCTAGTGCCAGCCGCAGGAAGCCAAGAGTCCCCCAGCACTAAGTCCAGTCCTCTGGTGGAGGGCAGCCCCCTTCTTCCTATCCTCTTCCCGAGAGACAGCAATATCTGGCACCCAGCCCCGGGTGCGGTTGCAGAGAGCTCCGGGAATCTAGGGTTTGCAGGCGACCCCACTCCAAGGAGCTCCTCTGTGGCTACAAAGGGGCCAGCCAGCTCCACAGTCGGGGAAGCCGGAAAGGGAGCCCGCGCCCGAAGCAGGGGAGCGCGGAGTGCTCTAGGCTCATCCCAGCCTCCACACTCCTATGGCCCGGGCCGAGGGGGACGCGGTTCCAGCCCCGAATTCTGGCAGCCGCCTCCGCCAGCCAGGCTGCCGGGCGCCGTTGGAAACGGCGGGGTCCTTCATGACCCCCGGCCGCCCCGCGCTCGCGACAACTTTGCCCCCTCCCCGGCCCGCCCCTCGCCGCTTACCTCCCGCTAGGGCTGTCGCTGGGCTCCCCAGGAGCAGCGCGAGGAGCAGCGAGACGCCG